CCGAACACAGCATCCCACTGGTCCCAATCGAAGTTGAGGTTTGGGTCAACCATCGATGGAGGCGTAGGAATTCTAGGTATTTCATTAGGACACGCAGGATCCACGAAGGACATGCCACCACCAGCAGTAATGTCAGCATCTGAATGCTGAATGTGTGGGGCGGGAGGGGTGGATGCAGAACATTGTGTCGGTGGAGGCGCACCAAACAAGGAGTCCGTATTGGGCGAGGAGGCGCCAATGCGGGGAGGTATGGGATTATCGGCGGGGGGAGGGTTGAATTGGGAATGTGAAACTGGGGATAAGGCTTTAACCTGTGGTTGGTATTGGTATCGTAGAAGGGTTTTAGTAGCATCCGGGTTAACAGGATCCGAGGTGTGAGAGCGGGTGAGGTTGTAGAATGTTTTGACGAAATCGCTAGGTTTGGATTTGTGTGTTGAGGGATGGCCGGCCGATGCTGAACCCGGAGACTCGGCCTGAGAGTGATCTGGGCTAGGAGAGTGACAATCCCCGCGAGTGTCAACTGGCGAAGCGACCCCAGCCTGGATCTGGTCTTGTTCGGTCCAGAGCATTCGCGGATTGAGGCCTGCCTTTTGCCAAGCCTTCTGACGAAGGCGGCGGATCATATCCCAGGCTTCACGGCCACCGTCCTTTAGTGGCCGTTGTGTTGAAACACCGTCTTCACCACCTACGACGCCTCCATCCGGGCCAGAAAGTGCGAGTATGCTGTCGATGAACGCGCGGGACTTAGGTGCTTCAGGGCTGTAAGGTCGCTCATATAGGTCAATAAGCATGATCCTGTATCTTATTAGCGTCATCACCAACACCTAATAATGGAGTCATACATAGTAGCATGCATTGGTTGATGATTACTAAAAATGAATATCAGTTGCCCATGATTCCTGGCCACCATACTAGCGGAAAAACTTACCCAGGCCAGCTCCAATGAAAGGGCTGGAAATCAGGATCCGTTGCGAGTTGGATGAATTTTTCCATGAAACCATGGCAATGACGAAGTGCACTATCAATATTAGCACATAGACTCATTTCCCGATGGTGTGTGCAAACCTTTGGCGTGCCGCTGGCCAAATCCGGCTGCGAGCGTTCTTCAGGAAAGGCTGATAGGCTACGCAGAATGCCTAGAGGAAGGTTAGTTGAATATGAAACTAACAAAGAGTGAGAAAGTGCACCTTGTCAATATATAAAGAAAGAATGATCTTCGCCCATTTATGGAAGCAAATAAGAACCGGTGAGTGATATTGTTCTGAGCATCCGGTGGGACCTTCGCCTGGAAGCTCTGTGTCGGAAGAGCGGCCATCGGGGGATTTGGATATAGAGAACGCTCGACCTGGCGTTGACAGGTTATCAACATCTTTCCCCTCTGGAATCCTGTTGATGATGGAATTCAGTCTCAGCTGCAAGTCAAGGAGTATTGACCGGAGCTCCTCCATGTCCTGCCTGGTGAGGGGCTTTATTCCAAGCTGGATTTTCAATATTCGGCGGATAGCGCCTGGTAAAGATTAGTGGGTGGGTTTTTAGGGGTTTGAAACGTACACACGAGCCATGGTATATTTCCCTCTGGCGGTCAGATAGTAGACGTTGACCATTGATGGTCCGCCGCAAATAGTGGGATCATCTGGATTATCAGGCAGCCGCTCTCGCGAAGCAACCTGTTTCATATAGGACTCTGCAGCGGGGCTACCTAGCATCGTATCTTTCATCTCACTAGTCTCGCACACATCCCAATAATTCTCGTCATTGACAAGTGGAGGCAGACCACTTGACATCGCAACGACACAGTCCATGTGGATGATGTGCCACCATAAACGGCGCCGGTACTCAGCTTCGCATGGCTCTATGCCAAACTTAGCGGGATCCCGATGCAAGCCCATGGTTTGCGCAACCCTCATCGCAAGACTAACAAAGAGACTAGTCGTCAAAGGCTCCTCCTCCTTCGTGACAATTGTCTGTACAAGAAGATAAGCAGCGAGGCCTTGAAGTGAAGGGCTGCGCGGGAATTTGATCTTCGTAAGCCATTTAGTAACTTCTTCAGTATAGATTGTCGAAAGGGCCGACCGCGAGGACACATTAAATTCAGCTTCGATTGCTCGGATCGAAATAGTCACTGAGCCGCCATACCATATCGCGTATAACAGTGGAATGAATGACGGATTTGGGCACGACTCTCCCGAATAGCTGCTGTAGTCGTACCAGTCCCAGAAGGAATTGTAGAGCTTGAGGATAGTTGGGGGGTGAATGATAGGACTGATAGCGTGTACACCGGAAATAAATCCTTTGTAAAGAATATGGCTTTGCCGTCTCGTTGGCATGTGATCAAGCATTTCTGGCTCCACCACCTTTTCATTGATCGAGGGGGAGTCACCCGAAGGGAAGATTATAGATTGTTGGAAGGAACGAGACCTAGGCGCCATCGAAGGTGTCGAGCTGCCTATTGATTCTCTCCATGGCTGTTGACCATCGGCATGCGAATCTGTTATGTCTTCATTCTTTTTTTCAGGAGTAGACTGATCATGTGAGCTATTTTGGTCTCTCAGTAATTGATTGAGCTCATTGATCTAGATGCGAGTTAGTCAAACTGTCTGTCAGTTGGAGAGTCGAGTGAGCAGCATACTTCGCCAGAGATATAAGCCCAATACGTGGTGCCAACATATCTAGTTATTTAGGGTTAGAAAAAAGATTTGTATTCTCAAATGAAGCAATTTTGACCAACCTTGACCTTCCACCGTCCTCTAGGCTCAAATGGCCTAAGTTCAAACTGCCAACCGGGTCTACCAGATCGGTGGCCTGACCGGATGGGATTGGAAATTCATCGCTGCTCGATTCTGCAGCAATGCGACGTGGACTGGTAGATCTTGGCGATGTTTTATTTCCGTCCAGACTATTGCTCGGCCGTGAGTCATCCAACTGTGTGGGTTCCACGGCCGTTGCCTGTATCTCCACGTCCTCGAGTCTTTGACCGCTCCTTCCGAGGCGCTCAATCATTGACATGAGCTTATCGAGCCGTGATTCAATGGCGCTCGGGTCGGGCTTTTCGCCTGTCGACTCTGCCCGTTTCAAGTGTCCGTAAAGTGATTGGAGCTCGTCGACATCTTCCTCTAATGTGCGGGGCATCTCTCTCCTTCGTTTAATGCCGTGCATGTTTTGGGGAGAGCCATCGCGCCCATCGTCATCTTTTTGGGATGACACATCATATATACACTCGGTGTTGTTCTTCACACAGTTTCCACATATCGGGTGTATCTAGAAGAGATATGTTAGCTTAGAACAAGGGCTTCAGTATTGATGGCAATCAGATCAATCTACCTTGTCGCATTTGACCTTCCGACGCCGACACGTGTGACAGCTGTAGCTCGCGCGATTTCGGGTGATCTGGCGGCCTCCAGCCAAAGGTCCCCTCAATGATGACGGAGCAGACGAGTTGCCAGGGATGGAAGGACCCGACACGGGCTGAGCATTGGGTGGGCTCTGGTTCATAGTCCCTGGCAAGACATGAAAATAGATCAAATTGTTAGCATGAAAACGATAGCGCGAAAAAAAGAAAAAACGGCGCTTCGCCGACTGCGGGGGTTCCCTGACGTTATCGGAGACCGAAGCCCAATGATATCACTCCATGCCGAGGTCAGCATTGATGCCTGAATTGGCCTGAATTTGCGGTCAAGAATATGATTTGTTGCCTTGCTGTCACTAGTACTAGGGCTTTTTTTTTGGCCAAATATGCCACCAAATTTGTCTAGTTTTTGATGTATATTCTTCCATCTGTGCGCAGGAGAAGCCTTTAGACTACTAACACGTTTATGGCAAGATATCGGGGTAAGATATTTTCGATGCCTTTCCTGCGCTGTTCAATGCTGTGTGTGGGTTTGTCAAGAAAGCTCAGACCAGAAGAAGAGACAAATATTCAATAAAATCGAAATATTCAATAAAATCGTATTACACGTCCAGTTTTACCTAGGAAATACTTTGACAGGAACTAAAACTGTATGTCTAAGCCACTGTCAGAAGTCAGACAGGGATTCTCGTGTGCAATCTGTGATGATCTATAGATTGAAAGGAATCTTACAAGACATGAATGATTCAAAAGCAGACGTTCTATAGAGATCTGCATAGCGCCAATTGATTTCGGGCTGTCTGCAATGTTCTCTCGTAGTTCTACCTGAAACCCGACGGTATACTGCAGTATTGGGCTCCCTGTTTCTCACCACACACGCTAATGCAAGAGCGCCTCAGATGATGTCTCGTAGCCAACCAATCCAAAAACCTGAACGCTAGACAGCTGTACATTCCCCCCTCCCCCCACTCCCAAAAGAAAAAAGCACCAAGTGGCCTAGAACTTGGGGTTCGCTGTAAAAGAATAACAAGCCTAACATTTAAATCCTGACGATTTCCCACGTATTTTCCTAGACAATATTACATCAAAAGCTAAATAATATTCACAATGAGTTTTGGAGTGAGCATCGGGGACTTTATTTCGGTTCTTACTTTGGCTAATAAGCTCCGAAGAGACTTTGTTGGCGCTCCGAGCCAGTTCAACAGTATCTCCAGAGAGTGCGTCGATATTGTACACCTAGGTTGTTGGCCAATAACTGATAATTTCGGTCTTACAGGGTCAGGGGGCTGGCAATTATTCTCCAGGATGTCGATGTTCAACTACTGGGCCATGATACCAATGATCACCAACAAGAGCAACTACGGGAAATCAGTCACAGCTGTGTGATCCTGCTGAACGAGCTTCAACATGCTCTGGAGAAATATAAACTCGTTGAATACTGTGGCACATCAATTCACAAAAAAGCTAGAGGTATTTGGAAGAGGATTGTCTGGGAGCCGGAGGACATAAGCGAGCTCCGAGGTCGCCTAATGTCTAATGTGATATTGCTCCAGTTATTTTTGAGTGCTATATCAAGGTATCATATATACTTCTCCCCTTCTGCCCCACCTGCCGCACCTAAGTATGACCAACATCTGAAATCCATAGTCAAACGATGGCTGCGGCAAAGCAAACACTGGAACAGCTCAACTACCGACAAGAAGGCAATGAAAAGTCTTGCATTCTCGACTGGCTGTCTGCCGTCGATTACACGTTACAGCAGAGTGATCTTCTCGGTCGACGACAAGCGGGAACTGGGAAATGGCTTCTCGATTCGAAAGAATATAAACATTGGCTTCGAACACGCCGAGGCACCTTGTTTTGTCCAGGAATGCCGGGTGCGGGAAAGACCATCTGTTCTGCTATCCTTGTCGATGATTTGACTACGCGCTTTGAGGATACTCCAGATGTCGGAATAGCTTACATTTATTGCAACTTCAATCGACAAGATGAACAGACAGCTCAAGAGTTGCTTTCAAGTCTGTTGAAGCAATTAAGTCAGAAGAAGACATCTGTTCCGGATACAGTCAAGGACCTATACAAGCGCTACAAAACCGCATCGACGCGTCCGCGATTCGATGAAATATCGAAAGCTCTGCATTCAGTCGTTTCCACGTATTCCGATGTGTTTATTGTCATCGATGCCCTCGATGAGTGCGAATCCACTTGCCGTACCAGGGTTTTGGACGAACTCAACAAAATTCGTGCCGGGCCTGGAGCACATGTCTTCGCCACGTCAAGACCTACGGAAATTAATGATTTGTTTGAAGGGGGTTCCTTTTTGGAGATCCAGGCTCATGAAGACGACGTTAGACGGTACCTTGATGGGAACATGTTCCGACTCCCAGGGTTTGTGAGCCGAAATACTGCATTGCAAGAGGAGATCATGACTGTCATCTCATGCCATGTACAGGGAATGTGAGTGTTCTTTATGAAATTGATTCTCTACTCAAGACAGATCGCTCATTTACCTTCAGGTTCCTTCTTGCACAGCTTTATTTCGAGTCATTGATCGGTAGAAGGTCAGCCAAATCTACCCGAACCGCTCTGAAAGAGCTGTCGAAGGGGTTCAATGAATATGCATACGACAAGGCCTATGACAACGCTATGAGCCGAATTCAGAGGCAGTTAGGAGAGCAGACTGACTTGGCGATGCAAACCCTGTCCTGGCTTGTATGTGCAAGAAGACCACTTACTTCACTGGAGCTCCAGCATGCGCTTGCAATAGAGGAAGGGGAATCTATGGTCGACGAGGAGAACATGCCGGAAGTCGAAGACATCCTTGCTGTGTGCGCTGGTCTTGTTACTGTTGAAAATGAAAGCGGGATAATTCGACTGGTTCATTATACGACGCAAGAATACCTTGAACGGAAGAAAGATTTACTATTTCCCAGCGCCGAAAATGATATCAGCACGTTGTGCGTTACTTACATCTCATTCGACACATTTGGATCTGGAGTTTGTGAAAGCGATGCGGCGTTTGAGAAGCGTTTGCAATCACATCCATTCTACTTTTATGCGGTACGCCATTGGGGCGACCATGTAAGAGCAACCAAAGATCTGCATCCTGACGTGATAAAGTTTCTGAAAAATCAGTCAAAAGTTGAAGCTTCAGAACAAGCACTCCATGTCAGGAGGCACTCAATCCCAAAAGATTGGAGCCAGAATTTTCCAAGGGAAAAGACGGGACTGCATCTCGCTGCAGACCGTGGAATTGAGGAAGCAGTATCCTACTTTCTTCAACACCGGCACTCCGTGGACGTACGTCATAACGGTGGCTGGACAGCATTGCAATATGCCATTTCAAGAGACCACCTGAATGTCGTCAAGTTACTTCTTTCCTGTGGAGCTGATGCAAACGGAACAGGTCAGGATAATTTCACCAGCCCACTTTCACTTGCTGCCCAGTATGGGCAAGAGGACATTGTCAGACTTCTTCTTGAGCGCGGAGTTGACATTGATGGCCAGACTGGATGGTACCAAACCGCACTCATCGCAGCGTGTGACAAGGGCTATCTAAATATCGTTGAAACTCTCCTTAACAACAATGCAAATATCAATGCCGAGAGTGAGATACATGGTACACCCCTCGCTGCTGCGTCAGAGGCGGGTCACTGGAAAATTGTGACCTTCTTACTTGAGAAGGGGGCTACACCCAGTTCTCAAGGGAACGAAGGTGAAACCGCTTTGGCATCAGCAGCATTACAGGGCCAGGAAGATATCGTACAAATCTTGCTCGATCATCACGCGGATGTCAACCAACGAGAAGGAACTGCCCTCATAGCGGCTTGTCGCAGCGGGCATGAGCAAGTGGTACGAATACTCCTGGCTAATGGTGCCGACCCGAATGCGGGAAACGGAGGACACAGCAGCGCACTGGTAGCAGCTTCGATGAACGGAAATCAGCAAATAGTGCACATGCTCCTCGAGAACGGTGCCAACATCAACGCGGAAAGTTATCTCGGTCCAGCACTAGTTGCTGCTGCAAAAACGGGGAATGGCCACATAGTCAAGGTGTTACTCGAAAACGGTGCTGAGATTCACGGCCGTGGCAAAGTCCAGGGATGCGCATTACATGCAGCTGCTTCCCGCGGAGATAGCCAGATAGTGCAAATGCTCCTCGACAGAGGTGCTGACAGCACCATTCGTGCTGGTGTTTACAAAACGCCCCTGCGAGCAGCCTTGATCGGAGGTCATCAGGAGGTTGCCGCGCTTCTCAAAAGACAGGGGCAGCAGCTGAGGGTCTGAAATGCGTTTGCGTGGAATACATTATGTGTTGGTATCAGATATAGCAGAATTCATGGTACATTGTGTCATTTTTCTCTTGTTTCTTGTTCGGTAATTTCCATAGTTGTGATTCTCCTCTTCTGATGGCAAAGCAAAGTGTGTAGAGAGTTAAGGGCTGACTGGACTTTACATTCTGCGATCTCCTGAGAGGAGATTGTCTCTGATATAGCAACCCCCATTTTACCCACTATAAATGGAGCACTAGTATGATCTGACCGCTAACTCTATGGTATAAGTCGAGGTAATGAAAAGATCACGATCCCGTCTCTGGGTTATGAAACAAGGGTAAGTCAAGCATTCACTATGACATCATTCTATAAGCAAAACCTCCAATATAAGTTAGTCACTCATTGTTTATTTCACGTCCTTCTTTCAAGTGTCAACATGGCACCTCGGCGCCACATAGCCAGTACTACGGGTGTCAATCCACCGCTAATATGTCTTCTATGTGGAATGGAACTCCCATACACGGGTAGTTCTGGGATTGCGGATACACACGAACCTAATCAAATACTCAAACAACAATGGAAAAAGAGTTGGGGAGTATACCATGTGATGGTACCATCTCGCGAGGTAGAGGAGTCAGACTTCGGCAATTTCCTACGGATATGGTCATGCTTGTGTCGAGTCAGTAAGTTCTCAAGGGACTTCCAATCAAATCTTCCCAGATTCTCTAACTAGGACAGTAATTAAGGAGTCCGATACCAAGTACCGTCTGACGGGCATTAATATACTCAAACATTCTGCAGAAAGCCCTTACTATACCCCAAATGATCCAGAAATGGCAAGAATCGGTGGAAGGAAAGGTGCAGACCCGGATAAAGTCGGTGGGAAAAGAATTAACCGATACGACAATGGAGATTTTACTGAATTCTATGGTGCAAGCATCGGAAGGCAGCCCAGTCAATACAAAGGGAAAGTGGTTGGATATATCATCCATGCCAGTTGCTGGGTGCTCTTCAACCGAGTCGAAGGGCTGAAACTGAAGGAGGCTAAACTCGCGAAACTCGTCCAAGTCTGTCGGAAACATTGGCGCAAGAACACAATGTGGAGATTATATGACAACAACGTGCATTTTGTACAACCGCGCCAGGACCTATTGCAGTATGAGTACGGCTGCGATATCTATCAAAATCCACTAGTGCCCAAAGTTCAACAAGCCTTGGATTGCGCAGATGTCGAAAGCCTACGGCAATCAAAAGGTCGAATATCTTCCCGGTCCAGCAACATTCCATTGGAAGTTGCCATTCTGATCGCCGAGTGGGTCTGTCCTGTTAAGCATACCTTGAAGGATATAAAAAACACGGGGAATATGCTTTTGGTGTTTGGGTGGAATTTGCCTGATTGGTTTTGGCAAAGACGATTGGACGAAGGATTGTTCATTGAACTGGATAAACTCAAGAAGGTGACGTCTCCAGTCGGTTGGCAATTGCGGCTGAATTTGATGTGTCTTGTTGTGGGTCGAACTGAGTTCAGGTCCAGTAGTGGTCTAGCAAGTCGTGAACGAGTGTTGAAGAGTATTCTTGCTCTTGAAAAAACCTACTTAACTCTAGAATCAGCCAAGGAGAAAGCGCTGATCGAGAAGGGGAAGAAGAATGATAGTCAATGATTGCCTTGCTTGCTAATTTATTCCTAGTCGTCAATTAAAGATGTCCAAGTGAGCAATTTGCCCTTCTCACCATCGTTCGAGGTAGATAGAAGTAGAAAAAAAGCAAAGGCACATCCTATAGCACCTTAATTTACATGTAAGACGAGGGAGGTGGATAAACCATGAGACTGCAAAACTTGTGAACAGGATATGATACAAGAATATGACCGCTATGACCAGCACGTAATCACTCATAAAATACAATAAATCGAAAGCACACATCACACCAGACTAGCCGCGCTTGACCTCTTGCTCGAGCTTGTCCAAAGCCTTGGCGTATTTGGGCTTGAGTGAGTCCAGTGCGTCGGCCTTGATCTGGACACGATCGATGTTCGAGGTACGCGTGATCCGGCCGTCCACACTGGCTGCGATCTCGTTGGCAAACCAGCGGCCCTCGCGGTGAGCAACCAGGGTCCACGCAGATCCTGGCCGGCCAGCGCGGGCAGTACGTCCAACTCGGTGGACGTATGTAGTGATGCTAGTCGGGATATCGTAATTGATAACATGAGTCAAAGATTCCAGGTCAAGACCACGAGAGGCACGATCAGTAGCCACAATCACTGAGATGCGGCCTTGTCGGTAAGCCGTCAATGTCTTGCGAGATGCAGAGGATTTATTAGACTTAATGATAGTTCCCACACGCTTGGCCAATGCGGGATGCAGAAGCGAAATGAGACGTGCAAGTCGAGAGGCAGACTCAGATGACTTGGTGAAAATCAGAACAGTCTTACGTGCGGGCGAGGGAACGAGTTCCATAGCATCGGATTCCGAGTCAGATGAGTCAGATGAGTCCGAAGAATCAGAAGAATCAGACTCCGAGTCCGAGTCTGACCCAGAAGATGAAGTATCGTCATCAGATGGTCCATCAGAGCTAGAATCATCATCGGAGCTGGTATCATCATCAGAACTGGTATCATCATCTGAACTAGAGCTGTCAGAGTCGGATGAATCAGACACGCTTGGAGCTCGGCCCCCACCAATCTCGATGTGAGAAAGAAGAAGACGTAACAGATAAAGAGGTTTAAGAGATCCATCGCCAACTTGAACAATGTATTCAGACAAAGTTGGGGGTAGGGCGAAGTGAGAATCTGAATGAGTAGCAGACGGGTCATGTTCGTCTGCAGCATCCTCGGACCCGATTATAATCATCTTGGGGTTAGCGAGACGCAACGAGTTGAGTTTGGAAATGTCTCGGGTCATTGTTGCACTTAGAATCACCTTTCGAGGAGGCTTGGCGTCAATTGAAAGCCCAAGTTCAGACAAAAGCTTCCCACCAGGCCCAAAGGTCTCGGGGGCCTCTCGACTATTCAGCGAGTTCATGACAACATCAACCCACTCTTGGAAGCTCTCATTCAGGAGACGATCGGCTTCATCAATCACCAGCCATTCGAGATGCTTGAGGGTGAATCCTTTGGTGTAGCGAATGTGGTCAACCAGACGACCCGGAGTACAGATAAGAATGTCGACATTCGGCTCGGACTGCTGGATGTAACCCGGAAGAGACGCATCAGAGTCAATCGCCTCACTGACACAATCTTCCAGGCTCAAGTTCATCCAGTCGTTTCCTTTCAATCCGTCACGCTGTTGCTGTTGGATAGCTGGGTTGTAAACCTGGTCCACGCGCATCAAGAGTTTCTGTTCCTCTTTGATAGCTACGTTACCGACTGCGCTTCCGATATGAAGTCTGGATCCAGAAGCACATAGTTCGCAGGATTCTCGAGCTTGCTTCACCAACTCTCGTGTAGGGACTACAATCAATCCTCGAAGTCTGGAGGCAGGTCTCGGTGACAGAGCGGTAACAAGGGGGAGAACATAGGAGAGTGTTTTTCCAGATCCAGTCGCCGCAGAGATGCAAAGATCTCCCGGGTGGTTTTGCTCTCCTTGCAGAAGAAGGGGAATGACGGTAGACTGCACAGCAAAGGCTTGTTTGTAGTCCTGTTGTTCGAGAATTTTGAGAAGGTCTGGCTTTATTCCGAGCTCGGAAAATTTCTTTGTTTCTTGAGCTGATTTGCGCAACGGATTAGCCAGCCAAGCGGGTAGAGATGAATATGTTGGAATCTGCTCGGGCTCGGGCGGGTTTTCAGGTTGAGGTAGTTGTTCAAGACCCTGTGCGTAAACAGCTTCGACAGCAGGTGTCTCATCTACAACGGCTTCGGGTTCAACCTTTTTGGCTTTAGCGCTGGAAACACTTTTGGTGCGCTCGAACTTTGACATAATCCCCGAATGCTTGTTCTTCGATTTAGGTTGTTCGGCTTCCGGTGCTTCAACTCCTTCATCGCCATTTCCTGTAACCACAGACGCAGCTGCATCCATCAATGTGTCGTCCGTTCCAGAGCTTTTCCGCTTGCTCTTTTTCGATTTCTCTGCCGTTTCGCTGGCGCCGTTGCGCGAGTTTGCAACAGTCGCTTTTGTGCGGTCTGAGAGAGCAGTATCTTTCCGGGGCGTTTCCGGGGAGTTCGATCCTTGAAGCGCATCCTTGAGATGTTTGCGCTTCTTGATACTGCCATCATCTGTGACCTCTGCGATCGGCAAGCCTTCGCGTTTCTTGTGTTTCTTCGTTGGCGTGGGAGTGGTTGCAGGCTGAGAGCCATGGGCATCTCTCTTGCGCTTGTGAGACTGAGTAGATTTAGGAGTCGCATCAACCTTATTAGAGGACTCGAGTCCCGAATTTTTGCCGGCCATTCTCTTGTAATTCTGCCAATGTCGGGGTTGCGCTGGATACCTCGTGGGGATCAAATTCCTTTTCTGAATCTTTTATGCCGGCAGAAGACATAATAATATCACCGCCCCAACTACCGCCCTTCTTATCGGGACAGCTTCCAGATGTCTCCAGATGTCTCCAGGTCTCCTGTATTTATTGGCTTGGATGGACTGGTGTTTTGAGCAGCAGATCTCTTAGCCATGGAAAGGAATTTGAAAAGAAGAGCAAATTCGATATCTCGGAGTTCTTGTTCTCACCCTGAGAACCACAGCCACGATGCCGTATAATATCGCGTCAGTATTTGTTCTATCTACTGGTCGCAATTACTTGCTAACATTGATATGTTGATAGAATGGTCAGTGACTTCTTTTTTCCCCAGTCAGGTAAGCCTCATTCTTTTACCTGTAGTTTATACAATTGTTGACTTTCCTAGGTGGAATTGAGAGTCACATATACCAATTGTCATCCGTAAGCACTCTACCTTGCCGCTCCACCTGCGCTCTCTAATTGCTTCTCAGAAACTCATTGATCGAGGACACAAAGTCATCGTTATTACCCATGCATACAAAGGACGCACCGGAGTCCGCTACCTCACCAATGGACTGAAGATTTACCACGTCCCATTCTTCGTCATCTATCGTGAAACGACATTCCCTACCGTCTTCTCCTTCTTCCCCATATTCCGCAATATCGTCATCCGAGAGGAGATTGACATAGTTCACGGCCATGCCAGTTTGAGTAGCTTTTGTGGAGAAGCTATTCTCCATGCGCGTACTATGGGACTGCGGACTGTCTTCACAGACCATTCTCTCTTCGGATTTGCTGACGCAGCATCCATCCTCACCAACAAATTGCTCAAGTTTACTTTGAGTGATGTTGATCATGCGATTTGTGTTAGCCATACTTGGTAAGCCTCTCGCCAACGCACTGGATGATTCAACTGACAAGTTTCAGCAAGGAAAACACAGTCCTTCGGGCTTCGTTGGATCCATTAATGGTGTCGGTCATTCCAAACGCGGTTGTGGCGGAGAATTTCTGTCCTCTATCTCATACTACTCGTGCACCTGATCAGGGTCTGAGCTCCCCCGCCGACGCTCCAATGTCCCCGAGACAAATCGGGCCCGATGATCCGATTACAATCGTGGTCATCTCCCGACTTTTTTACAATAAGGGCACTGATCTTCTCATCGCGTCTATTCCGCGGATTCTTGCCTCCAATCCCAACACTCGCTTCATTATCGCAGGATCAGGACCTAAAGCGATCGACCTAGAGCAGATGCTGGAACGCAATGTGCTTCAGGATAAAGTCGAACTTTTAGGTTCAGTCCGACACGAGGAGGTCCGAGACGTGATGGTACGAGGTGATATTTATCTCCATCCTAGTCTGACAGAAGCATTCGGGACAGTCATTGTTGAAGCTGCTAGTTGTGGTCTTTACGTGGTCTGTACCCGTGTTGGAGGCATTCCAGAAGTTTTACCCCAGCATATGACAACCTTCGCCAAACCGGAGGAGGATGATATTGTGCTTGCAACTAGCAAGGCAATTGCTGCTTTGCGTTCGAACAAAGTGCGAACGGACCGATTTCATGATCAAGTGAAGATGATGTATTCATGGCGGGACGTAGCCGCCCGGACTGAGCGCGTGTACGAAGGCATTACTGGCGATATTAGCCCAGAAGAATTTTATGGTTACTATCCAGGCCAGGGCTGGGAGGCGAGTGGAGATCGCGTTCGCAGCTTTGCGTTAATTGACCGGCTGAAACGCTACTACGGCTGTGGTGTTTGGGCAGGCAAGCTCTTCTGCCTGTGTGTCGTGATTGACTTCTTGATATATGTCTTCCTTGAGATGTGGTTTCCCCGAGCCAACATTGATATCGCACGAAGCTGGCCAAAGAAGCAACCGGCGAGCAAAACTGAGAGCACCAGAAGTGGTCGCTGAGAATTCGCCCCCACCCAATCCTTAGCGCAGAAAAGACCGACCTGTCAATATCTTTTTGGTCGACTCTCAGTTCTGCGCCTGTCCTGTTTGTCTCGGACAGCTCATAACCTCATTTAATCACCCCTCTTCATGTCCTCTCGTGTTGCACGACCCATTTTACACATTCTCATCCATAATACCACATACATAATGTCTACTTGGCAAAATAAAATGCCTGAAATCCTTCCTACGGTGGTTTCGCCTGCCTAGATGATATGGCTGGTGGCTGATAGTTAACCAAACTTGACATCGAATAGACTCCATTGGTATATTAGCAAGAAATGTAATAATCAAGAACCAACGCCATTATGCACCTGCGTTTGACATCATGTACGAGAATGATCGGCAGCCCCAACTTTGAATCAACGCATCACTGGAGGCCTGCCCTCTTTATTCCACTTGACACGGCTTTGTACCCACTCTACAGCCGCCTGGACACCAGATCCAAGTAGCGCGCTGACCGGCAGCACACGACTGTCACGGACGCCGCTTCCTGTTTCTCCCTCAAACACCTTCCGGACAAGCCCTTCCTTAATGCGAACCACCTCCACGCAGTCCTCACGGTCCTGCTTGTTTGCCAACACCAAGATAGGAACACCAGCCACATCGGCACTTTGTAAGACCGACTCGAGGACTTGTCGACACTCGTCTAATCGCCCGAATTCACTGCTGGCCGCGTTGATTCCGACATTTTGCTCTGAGAAGGCCTCGGCGCTTGCGTTCCCTCGTGTGCCATTGCGTGCAGGACCTGCCACGGAGCTTGCGCGCCGAGCAAGTCGCGCGATATCGGGATCTTGACCAACGTCGGAACTATCGACCACGAAGATGATCGCGTGGCAGCTAGTATAGTAGCTCTGCCACAGACCGCGCATCGAGATCTGACCTCCAACATCCCAAATCTTTAAATTCATGTCCGGTAACGCTATCGTTGCGACATTCTGCCCGACAGTCGGGACGGTTTTTCCGGGGTTGGGTACTGGGGCGCCATCGGAGCGGGGTTGGTACAGCGCCTTGATCTGGGAGAGGAGTGTTGTTTTGCCGGCGTTATCTAGTCCAAGCAGGATGACAGAATACTCTAAGTAGGTCAGGATAATCAGCGTAAAAGGTCATGCGATAGGAGAGAGCAGTTACCTTCTTTGCTCGTGGCGGCTAAGTACAGCGACTTGGCCAGGTGATACATGATCGCGTTCCCTATGGGGAGCTCAAGGCCAAGCGCAATTGCAATTATAGAAAAACGGGACCAGAAACAGAAATCATGACATCGCAGTCAGTTTTCTGACGTTGAAGCGCTCTGTTCCCCCGGAGGGGCCCGCGTTGCAGCCTCATCCATTTCGGGGAATTAGGGCTTAGGGCTGAATGTGATCTGGGGATGTTCCAGTCCGAACTACATCGGACATTTCAATGTACCTCACAGCGGTAAAACAGCGTGCATTCAACACTTTCAACGTTTCCAACGTTCAAATATGTTCAATTCCATAACTTCAAGAAATATGATGCTATAATGATGGACGCCACACTTCCCCGGCATACTCCTCGGGTCCAGGTTCCCAACTCAGTCTGTCTTCCAAGGTGGCAAATGGAAAACCGTCGACTTTCCCGAGTCTCCTCTTCTCCCCACTTGCAAACACTCCGCTTTCCAGGGTTTGTCAGCTTTTAATTGATCGGCGGACCTGACGATAGGAAGCCAATTTGTCAGGGACGTTCACCTTTCCCTCCTGAATTCCCTGGGATACAAATGTCACATTCCTCTATGGCCTTGCTGTCGATCCCTGGTGAGAAGGCAGTGTGACGAGGATCTCACCCTGCTTTGATTGGATGATCTACCCTTTTTTTTTACCCTATCGCATGTCTATACCAGTATGCCACACGCTCCATAACTTTTCAATATACATCGCTGTCAATGGAGATTGACACTATCATCGTCGGTATGTCTATCATAGTTGATGAATCATTTTGAGGCCATTCGAGACTTCTGCTCTGCTTGAGCCCCACATCCCACCCCGCGCTGTTAGAGTCCTTGCGAAATGGTAACTGATTGAACCGATTTTACCAGGCAATGGGCCGTCGGCCATGATCCTTTCATACATCCTCCATGGACATATCCCTTTCTACTCATCCGATCCTCCACATCCCGATCATTTATTGGACGCCAAGTTGAAAGCTGCGCCAGATATTTTGAATGCCGATGTGAATGCTCTTACAGCACATTTTGGCGCCTCGCGCCTATCGTACTCGACCCAGGCGCTTCCCGTGAACGTTTTACTAGACACACTTGTACGGCCAAGTGTTGATGTAGATGAGCCCGGCTGCATCTCAAATATTGATTGGCACTCACAGCCTGAGAAGGCTGTCTCACATCTTGTTTTTGGAAAGTCCTTGAAGCCTGGAGGCCAATGGACCGAAGATCCATGGGGCGCGAGTTGGGATATCCAGACATTGAGTTATGCGGCAATGCTGTCCTTGCCCGGGTACTCCTTTGCCGCCCATCACAAAAAGACCACAGGCAAAGATTTACCATCATATACAAGGCCCACGCGCCGCGAGATTGCGGATTATTTTGCCGCTTATCCGGAGGCTGCGCATATCGATGATGCTTTTCGGTGTGGCGAAGAATTGAAAGGCATTTCCCGCACCGCTACTGGATTTTATGTTCGTTCTCATAACCTCCACTGCAAGCGTCTGGTCCTGGCAAGTGGAATCTTTTCCGAAATCCTCTCACCAGAGCCGGTCTTACGTCCATTACTTGAGACCAAGTCCTCGCCTAATGTCCCGCTAGTCGTTGTTGGATCTGGCTTCTCCGCTGCGGATTCTATCATCTCCGCCTCCCCTGACCAAAAGATTTTGCACATATACAAATGGTCGCCCAATGACCGCCCATCCCCTCTCCGGGCCTGCCATCAGCAAGCATATCCAGAATATGCTGGTGTCTACCGTCTTATGAAACGAGCTGCCCTCACAGCCGAAGCTGCTGGTAAAGGCCAGCGGCCAAAGTACCGACGCGCGACTTCAACGCCATTCCTTGAAAGCCGGAATTGGGATGACCTCTATGAAGGTCTCCCTAATGTTGAAGTGACGGACGTGAAAGTTCACGGCGACCTGGCGACGGTCACATTCCGCCAGCAAGATGGAACTGTCTTCTCTCGGACCGTGGCCGGCCTCGTGTATGCTGCCGGCCGGCGAGGCACGCTAGATTACCTTGACCCCGAGCTCCGCTGTGAAGTGTTAGGGCAGGGCAATCAAGAGAATCCAGTAGTCACCGGCCAGACCCTCCGTGCGAAAGCAATCGAGGACCTCGAGGTCGCATCGGGAGTTTACATCATCGGCAGCCTGACTGGAGATTCTCTGGTCAGATTCTCATACGGCGGGTGCGTGTACACTGCTGGGCATTTGATAGACGGCGAGCGAGACAGCCGCAGTGTCTGTAGTAGTCTCACGTTATCAGCTAAACTACATGGATCTTCGCTTTCCGTGATGAACGGCATGGACGGGCACCATGTCTACCCGAATGACAACACATTGGACCTGGCTCGCGAAGATACCTTCAGCAAAATGTCAACAGTCACGAACCAGTCTGTTGTACGTGGTTGGTGGAAGACATTATCCCGCATGTGGAGTCATCTCACACGATGAGGATTTCGAAATATGTTGCATGTACACCACGATCCCCAAATGTAAAATTCTAGACACGCCAAGAAAGGCATATATATTGTTTATCTATCTTATTTTTAAAGGATTTTGTTCCCTGCTTGCTCTTCCGAACTACAATAAAACCTACAAAATCCCAAATCAAAGATGCAGTAGAACATCAAATGAAACTACTGAAGTGATATTGACATTCTTAGTTAGACAATAAAGGTAAACAGTACTAGCGATCACCTAAATTTCGGTCCATCCTCCTTGATCATATCAGCCGCTTTCTCCGCAATAGCATACACAGTAGAAATAATGTTCCCACTGATCTGCGACGGAAACACGCTCGCATCGACCACCCGCAGTCCTTCCACCGATTTCACCCGCAGTCTATTATCAACCACAGGACCCATTGCGCACGTCCCCAAAATATGATTGAAGGGCATAATCCGCTCACGGGCAAACTGCTGAGCCTCAGCAGGGACCTGCAAGTTCACAGCCGGCGGCGGATCAACACGTCCCCGCACACTGCCAGCCACATCCTTGGACGAGAACACCTTGTCCACGAAAGCCAAGCCAGCTGCCAAGACATCAACGTCGGCCTGGTGCGTGAGTATGCCTAGATCGATGTCAGGTGGCCCGTGGAGGGATCCCCTTGGTGATATATGCGTACTGCCGCGCGAAGCGGGATACATGGCGCTGATCAGCATGGTGTAGCATGCATTGCGACCTGCCGGTGCTCCCGGCAGCAAGAGGCCTTGGTTAGAGTGGCCGTTGGAGAGATTGAAATGGCCGGGAATGCCGTAGTATTGGATCGTTGCGAAGTCGGCATCTCGTAGGCTGGATACGATCTGCTTGCGATAGCTTTCTCGGAATTTGTCTCCCTTCTCTGGCGCTTCCACGGCGGCGACTGTGGCCTCGAGTGCCGTCTTTGGGACTTGGGGCGTAGGGAATGAACCCTGTTAGGCCCATGCAGCCTGCAAGGAGTCCGTTTTGGGTGTCTGTCAACAGCTTGGTTTGTTGCTGAAGAAGATTCTGGTCCAGAAACAAGGAATCCATGGTCACAATATCCGGCACGAGTTCGTATACGGCGGCTGTCATGGGGTGTTCTTGTAGGTTTTCCCCCACGGCGGGTAGGTCGACGATTGGATCGATGCCGGCGGATAGAAGAATGGCTCGGTTTCCAATTCCAGAGAGCTCGAGAATCCGGGGAGTTTGGATAGTGCTCGCTGATAGGATGATCTCTTGGCTTGCTTTGACCTTGTACTGCTCGCCACCGTGCCAAAATTCCACTGCGCTTGCCCTTTTTTCTCGCCAATGTCGTCGAAAAGAATCCGACTGACAGATGCTTCGGTCAGGACTTTTAAGTTTGGACGTTCGAGGGCAGGGATCAGATATGCAGAAGCAGAATAGCTGCGGCGCACTTGCCCGCCGGTGCGGTCAATGTTTGATAGGCTTTCAAAGGCACCTAGATTCTGGCCACCGTAAGGATCGTCAGGTCTTGGAATCCCTGAAGTGTGCTCGAGGCCTGTGAAAAGAGATTGCTCGAATGGAACCGGCGAGGGTGGCATAGAGAGTCGAAGAGGTCCCCCTTGCCCATGAGAAGCTGAAGACAGGTGTACTAAGTTTTTTGTACTATTGAGTAGGTGTTGGAGGTCTTCGTGCTTCAGGTAGTAGGGCTCTAAGTCGTTCCATGACCATCCGGCATTCTCTTCACCCCACGAATCGATATCAGAGGCCGACGGACGAACGTAGGCCATGAAGTTGACGGCACTTGAGCTTCCGAGCAACTTTCCACGGGGGAGATGATGAACTTCGTCCCTGTTCCCCGCCTAGTTTGGTTCAAGGGATATGTCAGCTCATGTACTTACTTCAAATTGATTAGGCTTCCCGGGAAAGGGAGGGTTATCGTAACAACGCCAACATACTTGCGGTATTGTTTTGAACTTCCAATCATACTCCGAGTTATGCAACATGGCCGATATGCCAGTCGGGGAGAGTACATTGCCGTCGTCCAGCTTGGCTTTTCCAGCCTCAATTACCCCGACAACGACATTCGGATTCTCGCTCAACCGATTGGCAAGGACAAGTCCAGAAGTACCACCATCAACAATGAGATAGTCGAATTCCGTGGCTAAGAACTCGCTACAAGTGGGAAAAGAGTAATCAGCCTTCATGATGAGCAGAATGTATGTTGCCGTTGAAAGTATATACACAATGAGATTCGCAGTGGAAATGGCAGGCTATTTATGCTGATACTAAGTAAGAATCGTGTCGTCATACCTACAAGACCAGAACTGTCAGATTATAAACCCCTTCTCCGTACGACGTACATGCCTCTTATACTCCGTGGACGCCTGAATGCGGGATTAGTATCCGAGCTGTCAGAAGTGGAGCTTAGGGTTTCAACCACGATGATGGTCCGGTAACATACACAGCCTTACAGGGTCTTACAGTTAGTGTATTTTTTGAAACTTGTACTCCGTACCTGTAGAGTCCTGCAGAGTCCCGACTAAGAAAGCTTAGCCAATCACCGTACAAGCACGTGGTTGTCATCAAAAATACGAAAACGAAAGTTAGTTAACTAATGATCGGGATTTGTAAAAGAGTGGGGATCTAACGGGGTTTGAGTTTGACTTGTTCTAAGACCATCAGATAAAAAAAGGACTCCACTTCCCTGCATGTCCGACTTTTCTTTCCGTAGACCTATTAGTATGGACATTTGTTTCACTGAGCAAATTTGGCATGCTGCTATATCCTTGGTTTTTTATATATTCTCAGGAAATAAGGAGATCGAAGCACAGAACACTTCTATGACTCCGGCTTCCTGGGAGTTACCGAGGTACAATGGACTAAATCTTGCGCAGCCCTTGATGATGGCAGCCCGGGGAGATTATCCCCGTGCCCTAATCCTTGACGTGGACCTCATGTCAATACTACTTACTGCACCTCCCTCGTGGGGGTATAAAACAGTCAAGTTTCGAGAGCCTATCACCCGCACCGTTGTGGCGATAGTTATGATGTGTATCGCAGTCTTTCTGTAAGTGGCGTTTGGAACAATGCTCGCTCGGTGCGACTCCTAATGCATGAAGTGCTTCTCGAAATGAAACCACTTGAAAATTCCTTATTGTGGGGCACCGGCCTCCATCAACAGCGAATTATTGCCGATGGTCTTATTGTCGAGGTGAAGTTCGGCGGGCTCCTATATAAGAATAAGCAGATTATCGATGGTGTCCATGTGCGCAGTGCGTCATGCCTCGTGTGACGTGGTCAAGCGCGAGGCTGTTGTGGTCGATGCGTCTTTGGCGCGGGTGGTCGGTAAGCATACAATTTATGCAGGTTTGTGAACAAATCCAACCCCTCTGGTCAAGTCAATTGTTCCGAGCATCGATGTTCAATCATATTTTGGCACCGTCCATTTGCTTGGCCCACCGGTCTGTAAAAGAGAACCCCTATTAGTCAAGCGGGATCATCTCGGCACCCTCAAACATACTCGTATCATCTCTCCTGGGGAGAATAGGATTTCTGAGCGCATAATTGGTCTGAGATAGTGCGTTCGTATACTTTTTCCTAGCTCGGAGCTCCATTTGTGGAGAAAAACGTATGTTCAACACGGCCGCTAATCCCACTGCGGCCAGCGCGGTGATCAAGGGGGAATTCCGAGTGTTCATCAAAGGCAGCGGATAGAACATGGGGCTCCCGTAGGGATCACCGGACATGGAGTTCACGAGGATATGACCCTTTGCTACTTTCTGGACTGGGTAAACGAGACCGTTTATTGGTGGGGTGACGTTTTGAGCGTTGTTAGTGGGGGGTGCTAGTGGTGCTAGTGGCGACTATGCGCGTTTTGCGTGGCTGCTGAAACTTGTTTGATCCTGCAAAAATTAGTACAATGGCATTATGGATCTCGATATCCTGGACAATCCACTTGAGCTCGCATACATTGGATACGATGGTGATCCTTCATCGCACTGGTGGGGCAATTTAGTGAATGGCTTCTTTTCTGGCGTGGGCATTCATTCTTTCAAGCGACGTTGCGACAGCGGGATAGTTGGCTTTCCACAATAAACCATCTAGATAACTAGTGGTGATCTTAGTTGCGTAGGTGCTAAAAGAAGAAGTCGATACGTTCACGCGTTGAGATTGAGATGAAACAGAAAACCCAATGTTGAGCACCTCGTCAGGATCCAGGCCGTCAGGGCTTATTATTATCCTCCAATAGAAACCACAATAATACGCCAACCGTTTAAGCCTTGGAGAAAGGTAAAGGCTCGAATATGAGGACTAGTTACCCCTTATCCGATGCGATCAGCAGCTAACCCTATTTCCTATTAGGGCTGCATATACAATCCCTGTCTCTATATGCTAAGCCAACTACTATATACTTCAAATTAACTATGATCTACGAAGTACTGTCCCATGGCTTACTTTATCCTAGTTATACTCAAATTAAAAATGAAACGGTTTTCTCATTTCCCCCCTTTTCCCCACTGTTATTAGCCCACTCGTTTAATGTGAAATATGGCCCCATACATACTAACGGAAACCGGTTGGTCCCAACGGTATTCCCCCTTCAGTTGCCGGTCGAAATGCCTTAGACGCCATTTTGTACTCATTTCCCAGTGTAGATCTCTATTCCGAATGTCTTCCGACAGAATTACTCCCGATAATCGGGTAGAAGACCGTTTCTTCCTTATATAACATCTCTCCACTCCCTACTAATCCCTGATCCATACTTCTCTACATCTCATTTCTAACAAAAATCCCTCGCTTCATTCTATTCCTTGAAACATGGCTGAATCCACCACTCTTATCTTCGTTCCCGGCGCGTGGCACGGCCCTGACTACTATGATCCCGTTGTGGAACGCCTTGAAGCAGTCAACTACAAAACCGACAAAGTTCACTTGCCCTCCGTTGGCCCATCCGAGTATCTCTTGAACTTCGATGCGGACGTTGCGCAAATTCGCTCCCAGATCGAACGAGCAGTGGATGCCGGCCAAAAGGTCGTCTTGATTGTTCACTCTTACGGTGGCTTGCCCGGAAGCGAGGCAATCAAAGGCCTAGACATCAAGACACGCGAGAAGAATGGTCTTCCCGGAGGTGTCACGCATCTTTTCTACTGTTCCTCTTTCATCATCAAGGAAGGAGATTCCCTGATTGGTGCCTTCGGTGGAAGTGACCTCCCGTGGTTTGTTGTCAGCGACGACAAGTTGCAAGTCAATCCTGCCGATCCCGTGGGAACATTCTACAACGACCTTACTCCCGCCCAGATTGAGACTTGTCTTGCCGACATCAAGCCTCACAGTTATCAGACCATGCACAGTCCGTGCACCTATGCCGCGTGGAGAGATGTGCCAAGTACCTATATGTACTGTCTTCAGGATGCTGCTATCCCCATTGAGATTCAAAAGGGAATGGTCGAAGGAACAGCAGGTGGATATGACATTAAGACAGAGACTGTGGACGCATCTCACAGCCCATTCCTCAGCAAGCCTGATGAAGTCACTGCGGCGATTCGTCGGGCTGCTGGGGAGGTTGTTTGAGTTTTTGTATGAGTTTACAATGTGTTGCGATTCAATGTTTTGATATGAGTGAATAGCATTAGATATCAGTGATGAATTTACTTGGATGATCGAATTAACATAAGAATATTTGGTATATAGGTGAATGTCGAGGAACTATCCCGTAAAATATATGAAGATGCCCATGAAAATCATATATCCCACACTATCTAAAAAAAAGATAGCTGAATAATTGATGGATGTTCTTCTTGAGCTCCAAAGTTGATTCCGGGCAGCAATTTGGTGGCAAGTGAGTCATGGTTACATCACCAGCCCTAAGAGGTCTATATAGTCTGGGGTGATTTGCTTATCAACTTATTATTATAGTGATTTAGATTCTTTTTTAGCCTAATATTAAGAACGTAGAGAGGCGAAATATAAAAATCCCAAGGTGGCATTGACCAGAGCTATCCTTCCCAACTCGACTTTCTCTTCAACTATCAAAAATGTGGCCATCCGATGACCCAATCTCAGCCTATGGCTTTACAGCCGTTTTATCATCAGCTACTACTCTTCTCGCAACAGATCCTCCAGCAACACCAGCCCCATCGATTGCAGTGACCGATGTCCCGACTCCAGCAACGTCCCTCGCCCAGCGAATCAATGAATATGCAAAATCTCATCTTCCTGAGCCGACATACAACCATTCCCTTCGCGTTTATCACTTTGGGCTTGCGATTAAGCGGTACAGATTCCCCAAATGGACCTTTACCGATGAAACATACTTCCTTGCCTGCCTGCTTCACGATATCGGAACAACCGGACCTAACTTGGAGGCCACTAAATTGAGCTTTGAGACCTTCGGAGGCCTGAAAGCACTGGAAGTTCTGCAGAACCTACAGCCTTCCTTTGTAGGAGGCCCGGTCGCAGTCGCCCCGAAAGATCAGGCAGAGAGCGTGGTGGAAGCAATCATCCGGCATCAAGACTTGTGCGAGAAGGGTAAAATCACAGCTCTCGGTCAACTGCTTCAGCTGGCAACAATCTTCGGTATGTTGACCCTCTATCAGAGTTGATTGTTTTGGCATAACATATTATTCCTTGAACAGCGACCAAAATGGCGTAGCACTATTTACTGGCCCCAACAAGTGTACAAGTGTTGGCTCTAACTTGTTGGAAAACAGACAACACTGGCTCTTATGCCAATCTCATTCATCCCTCGACTATCCGAGATGTCTCTAATCATTTCCCTCGTCTGAAATGGAGTGGGTGCTTCGCTAGTACCATTCATGAAGAGAATCGGCTTAAGCCCTGGGCACACACAACTACACTTGGCGAAGACGAATTCCCCAGTAAGGTGCTAGGAAATACTCTGATGGCACCATATGAATGATGGAATCTCGAGGATTTCCAAAGAATATCTGGCATGGAGCTCATATAGCTCCTAGACGCTGACAATAAAAGTTGACAACCGAGCTTGCATTCTTCCGATGACCTATATTTTCACAAACATATATTAGGCTTCAAGAAAGATAAGTATATCTTAAATCCATACATCAGGAATCGTATTATTGCGGAGCGAAGCGGAGCAATAATAAATCACAAGGTCTTAGGTGTATGTCATGTGACCAAGATACGTCTGAATATCTCATCATGTGACCAGATAAATGAACTAGTTCCAATATGGCTAGCGCGTTCTTTGTGCACCAATCAAAATTCATTTATTCTATCATTATGGCTTTCAAAACATGCACTAGATGCGGTCACTAGCGTCCTTTGGAGCTATTTCGCTCGCACACTAGCAATCGAGAGACCTATCAGTATTAATCTGCCGAGATGCCAAAAAGAAAGAGCGTTCTAGACGACGTGCGGCTACCGAGCAGGCGTTGGCTCCTATTACATCGTCCCCGGATCCCTACGTGGCCTTGGAAATTGGAATCAGTCACTTCGCTCCGCAATGACTATCTGGAGGCTTAAGGCCACCGAGATCCCAGGGGCTTATACATAGGTTAGTGCGATGGACCCAAAAATCTGCCGTAAGCTGGTCACTGAATGGTCTCATTTACTCCTCTCACTCCCAGTTCATTCCCACTTCACTCCCACTTCTGCTCACCCCGACTCACCTCCTCAGCTGACTCTAAATAAGCGACACTCGCTTTCAATCTCACCACGATCAACTATGGAGTCGTCTCATAGGAATGGAGGGTGCAGGCGTCCAGGGGTCCACAACGGAGAAGAGCCCAGATTGTTGCTGGAAGCCTGCAAGTCGCCCACCTGGAAGAGGCCTAAAATGGCCAACAGTGGTCCTGAAAGCAGCATGGTCTGAACCATTGACTAAATTGAAACAAGATGTTTTATTCTGGCTGAACGAGTCAAACCAGGAGGCCAAAGTCGCATTGACTAAGAGTCGCTCGGAGGGGGAGGAAGACTATCACCATTGAAAAGTGGACAGCTGACAAGGATTCTGTCAAGCCCATCCAAGCCATATGTATCACCCCAGTTCGAGGTCCCAATTCGAGCGGCCATCAGATCTCGGGGTCATTGAAAATTCCATTCCTGGACTGTTTTCTTCGCGCAAAGAGGAACGCTGAGATGGATTTTACTCTATCGCACGATACATGCTAGACATTGGAGAAGCAGTCTTACCCTACAAGATCTTCCAGGAAGATAAAGGATCGTGCTGAAATTGTCAAAATCTGTACCAGCTGGATCGATAAGCGGGGGATACCTTGGATACTGCTGATCCCACTGGTGGCGTGGGTCAGACTTCGGTCCGTCAGATACCAACCCAACAAAAGCTCAGATGGAGAGGTTACGAAAGCTCTCCTACCAGGTGTAGGGGCCTCACCCCTGCCTACTGCTACTCACAATTTCCTCTTACCATTCCTTCTTCGTCTCCTGTCCCATAATAATAATAGTAAACGAGGCGTAGTCAAGGGAGATGAATTGATCTGCCCGCTTGCATTTATCTCTAGGAACCGAAAAGCACAATAAAATGAGCAGATTACTCTACTTCAATCCCAAAATAGCGAAATTGTCCAGTTGGTGTAGAGATAGACCTCCCCGAACTCGGACAACACACCTTCATGAATCCTCCACAGAAGCCAAAGATGCTTCGAGCCATCCTCGCCACGTTCTTCCTCCTCGTGCCATTTTATTACATATACAAACCTCCAAGTCTACTCATTCGTTACTGTCAACGGCGCTGGCCGGATGTACTTTTCCGCGTAGACACAGACAAAAAAGTGGTTGCGTTAACGATTGACGATGCGCCCTCCATACACACACCTGCAATCCTCCGTCTATTGGAATCGCACAATGCAGCTGCGACTTTCTTCGTGATAGGATCCCAGATCCCAGGACACGAATTTGTCTTGGCTGATCTCGTCCGGGCTGGCAACGAGCTCGCCAACCATGCCATGTATGATGAGCCATCGCGTGCACTCAGCGACGACGTCTTGGCAGATCAGATCCGGACAGTCCATGCCGGAATCCGGGAAGCGTATGTCACAGCTGGAAATACAGAACCTGAGAAGTGGCTATTTCGGCCTGGCTCGGGGTTTTTCAGCTCCCGGATGAGGACGCTTGTAAAGGAGCTGGGATATCGGCTGGTGCTTGGCGATGTGTATCCGCATGACCCGCAGGTGCCATTTTGGAAACTGAACGCAAGTCATATTTTAAGTATGGTCAAGCCAGGCAGTATTATTGTCTGCCACGATCGCAGGGAGTGGACGGTGCCTATGTTACAGAAGGTGTTGCCGGAGCTGGATCGCAGAGGGTACCGGGTTGTCACGGTCTCCGGGTTATTGAAAGAGATCGACGCAATCTGATGTTCAAGTTGATGGCGAGTGAATATTGCGGACTAGCAATTTACATTTTTTCATCTCGAAACGCTATGGGTATATTCGGACACTATTCTCAACAGGCTAGCCCATCATCTGCAATTGATCCTCCGGGGGCCAGCGGACTTGCGCAAAGCTCAAGCAGCGCTTGATACTCTGTAGATACTTGCGAGTAATCTCGTCACTCAGAATGTGTGCCTGCTGGTCACTTTGATGCAGCTTCTCTCGTGCAGATCGCTCGTGAATACCAACCATGGTCACACCGATAGGCCATGCTCTATACACGTGTTAGTGTCAGTTCTTAATTTACCAGAGTGTGGGATCAACATACGCTTTACCAATGCTCACTCGTAGGTAAGCATCATTTGCATCGACATATCGCCGCTGCTGCGCCTTGTGCACGATCTCAACGATCGGCTCCAACAGCCCGTCCTCCAGCTCAGCCTTCTCGAAGAGGCGAAACAACGGTGTCATATTCTCGCGTGATTGGGTCATTGCATTGAATGCTTGCTTTCCCTGGAAACTTTCCCGCACAGAAACGTCACGCTTCGCTAGTGCCAATTCCCATTCTGACAAAACCATGTTGAAGTAAGATCCCAACTGCCGGAAAAGGAACAGACGGCCTTCTTGGTCTTTCGGGATCTTGGCCGGGATGATCATCTGTCCACCAGGCACAGGCTCCAGGGTGGTAGGGATAGGTCCATCGGTCATCTTCTTCTTGGGAATAGCGGCACGTTGAACCAGACGACGGTATCGTCGAAGACGGGCTCGGTAGTCCTCTCCGAACAATTTTATTGGCGCATTCAACTCTCGTAATTTTGCAATAAGCTCCTCCTCCTCGATATCTTCCTCTTCGTCGCCGTCGGCTGGGGTGTTCTCAGGCAGCTCGGGCAGACCGAGCCTCCGCCGCCGTTCACGTTCTTTGGCTGTTTCTTCTTGTTCTCTTCTCGTCTTGGACTCCTCGGCTAGTCTTCGCTTCTTCTCCTCGCGTTCTCGGTTTCGATCCGCTTCTTCGTCTTCGAGCTTGCGCTTGTTCGCCATGCGCTCTTCACGTTCGCGTGCAAGTCTCTCTTGCTCTTCTTTGTAGGCTTGAATGCGGGCAGCTTCGACATCGCCTCGTCGCATGTATTTCTTTGCTGGTACTGGGGAGCTTTTTGCAGTGTCTTTGGCGGATGATTTGGAGGAATCACTACCCTTAGCCTTAGAGATCTCCTTGGACATCAACGCGGCGAAATCCATGTTGGGTGATGCAGCGAGCTGCTGAATAATTCGACTGTAGCTCAGTTAAAAGAATGGAGACAATAAAGTAGAGTTGCGTCAAGAGACGAAGATGGAGTGTGGAGGCAGGAAAAGAATGTTCGGCTTTGCACGTCACCCGCAGCTTTCGACGCCGCATTTGTTTCTTCCAGTCAACTCCTCTCAACCAAAATACACCGAACATTTACCTTCAAGGCCATTTATCCAAGCTTTAATCTACATTCAACTGGTTGGATATCTCGTTCTCTTCTGTTTCTCGCCGTCCTCCGGACTGCCCTACCATCATCATGGCTGCTCCGTCGCGAGAGGGCTCAAAACCCTCAATCAACCGCCAGACCACCGCACCTTTCCATTTGAAGCTCTTCTACCGAGTGAACAACTACAACCCCCTATCCGACTACAGCATCCCCGCACCATCTCGTCGCGGAGGACCAGTCAGCGGCCCAAACTCCATCCGCCCAACATCACCCGTCGCATCTCCAGCGCCGCTCCCACCACACCTGGAGATCTACACATGGCAATCATGCACACTCCGCGAGCTCTCCCAGCTCCTCACTTCCGCCCTCCCATCATTACTCCCCGACCCGCCTGTCGGCACCCGTCTCTGCTTCCGATTGATCTACCCCGACGCGCGCGGCGCCGCAATGGGCGGCCCCGATGCGCGAGGCCGATACCTGAGCCGGGATTTAGGCAGTGCGATTGTTGGGCCGAGGGATAGTCCATTGCGCGCAGACGACGACGAAGATAAGCAGGATGCACGACCTCGCCCTGGCCCGCTCCGGTTCCAGGGCTCCGAGGCCGACAGGCCCCTGCAGGAGGCTCGTTTCATCGTTGGAGACTACATTGAATGCGCGATTCTGGCGCCGCTTGAGGATGGGTCTGTTGCGCCGGCGCTTAATGGTGCATCTGGTCCGATTCTGGGGCCTAGAGGGGGTGGTGGAGGTGGCATGCGCGCGTTCCGGGATAATGGCTTTACGAGAGGGCCTGGTCGTGGTGGTCCTCGTGGAGGAGGAGGTGGTGGTGGTGGACCTCCGAATTTGCCTCGAGGTGATTGGCATCGTGGTGAGCGATTGCCTGAAGGTGGACGTGGAGGCCGTCGTGGATGGGCGCCATATTGAGAGGCGAAAGAAAGCTGGCTCAAAGGCAACCTTGTGAAAAGGGCGATAAATACCCATGTTGTGTATGATTATTTAGTTTGAGACCAATGGAATCAAAACCATCTACTACATGTGCCTACTACTGGCTAAAAAGGCGATTATAGCTTTATACTGCAGTATTTCAACAACATAGCTCCAGGAGATTAATCCTTTGAAGAGTTTAGCCTCTTCAATCGCCGTGAGTAGCTAAGGGTGACAGGCAGTCATCATATGACCTCCAGATTAGTGTCTAGACGCCTATTAGAAGTCCGGATAGCAACAAAAGCCACTTGAACGAATGATAACCGTCTTCTACATGGAATACCCCGGAGTCGTATGTGCCTCGGAAGTAAACCCCAATATCACGCACATGTACTCCGTACCAAGTCAACAAAAAAGAAATCCATGCGGTATATGCTTGTAATAAAGTACACGGCCCCCACGACAGACACCGGCACAAAAAGAGTTGAATTCATCGGGCAAAACAAAACCCCCTCTCCACACACTCGGAGTATCCGCAACCTTTCTCTCTCTCAGTGTGTAGCTCAGTTCTCCATATGGCGCCATGTCACATTCGCAGCTCGGTACGGCTTCGATAACAAAACAGGAATTGAATTATTGCTAGATGTCTACCACTCGGCGATGGAATCTCCTCTGCGCTTGCCACGGAACTCGAACTTGCCCTGCGATATCGTTAGCGCGTGTTTCTCTCTCCGGGGGGATCAGACCACAATGTGTAATCCAATCCAATCCAATCCAACAATGTGGGATTCCATACATCGGTCTTGTAGGCGAAGTATCCTAGGATGCCGGGGATAAGGCCGGCGTAGACGAATGAGATCCAGGCCTGACGCGGGGTCCAGCGCCAGTACTTGTAGCGGTTGATATTGAGTTCTGTGGGGCTGTTAGTTAATCTTCAATTGTAGATTTATCGTGTCGCGGTGTGCTGGGGTTGTGAGAGATGCTCCAGTAGCTCGGATATGGTTAAGCTAGTGTAATTCGCGAGGCTCGTCCGGGGTTCTGGACCGTAGGAGATGGGGTTGGGTTGGGGGTATGTACCATAGTATCTCTGGAGGGCCGGGTCAAGGATCACGGCTGGGACATTTGTTAGCAAATCAGGTCACAGGACTCGTGAGATTCGTAAAGCTCACACTTGTTATGGCCAGCCATTGTTGCGGATAGCGTTGCAGCGTAGACACGGAATCGTCAATTGCAAGCGTCTCTAGGATTGAAGTTGAAGGTCACATGATGATGAATCAGCTGAATGATGTAATCAGCTTTCGTTCTCCCAGCTCGTTCATAGCTAGGATGTTGTACATTTCAAGATGAAAAGATGCATATTATTGTGTCTCTACACCTAAATGTTCTTCTCATCCTTGTTGAATATTCTCATTATCGATTTCTGTCGTGCAGAAGTTTGGAGGATATCCGAGATGATCCGCCAACCAAATGTCCTCCATATGCACTGACACAGCGTATAAACAATTAACTAGTTAAGTATGTAAGACTCGAGACATTAATAGTTTCCAAAACCCATTGCGCCCTTCCATAACCCAAATTACATAGAAGCCGAGAATTTCCCCTCGATCTTCTCGATCTTCTTCACAGCACGCTGGTACCCCTCATTGTTCTCAAGGCGCTTGGCATACTGGATAATAAGAGGGTATTTATCCTTGTTCTTCTGCTCCTTTAGCGCTCTCCCGGTGACAGCAATGACCGGGAAGCTCAGCAGGATATCAGCAGCCGTCAACTCCTTACCGCAAATATACTCGCCACCCTCAGGAGACGTGCGGAGCTGGTCCTCAAGGAAAGCGAGATTACCATCAATGTTGCGGTTGAGGAAGTGATTATCCACTTGGGCGGCAACCATGCCGGTGATAGGTCGAATAAAGAATGGAGGGGCGTTCCGAATAGCTGTTGAAAATAAATGTCAGCTGCTTCGAATAATAGTCACAACATACATATCGGGGGCCATGATCCATCAACGCCATGCATGCATGCATGCATATGCGAGAACGAACGAAAATGTACATTGTACACGTTCACCGCTCTAAAAAAAAACAGAAAAAAAAAGAACACTTACTGTCGTTCACCAGACTCATGACCAAGAACGGCATCAGGCTGCCCTCCACGTAGTGCATGAAGTAGCGGTAGCGCATCCACTCCTCGGTCTCTCCACCCACTTGGCCCTCGCTGCCCGCCGTGTAGCGTTGTGGTACTAGCGTCGGGCGCGCGCTACCAAAGTGGTCACAGAGGTATTCCATGATCGCCCCCGACTCCGCCAGCACTAGCGGTTTTGCGGCGCCCGGTGCTTGGATGGTCACTATAGGTGACTTGCCCAGCGGGTGGACCTCCTTCAGGTCGGCCGGAGCGAGCTTGTCGGCGCGGCGCTTGAAGGTCTTGAGTTCATATTCCAGTTTCAGTTCTTCTAAGAGCCAGAGGATGCGGTGGCTTCGGGATTGCTCGAGCCTGGATTTATGTTAGTTAGTATGATTCTGAGGAATTTGTGATGGGGCGTACCAATAGAGTGTGATCTTGCAGCCTTGATTGTTGGCCATGATTTGTTAATATTATGAATATTGTATAGTTGAAATAGTAAAAAATGTCGAGTCATGAAAGAAAAAAACAGGACTTTCAAGTTTAAGTGCCCACACGTGGATGATGTCAAGATGGGACCGAGGCAGGTTTATCTCCCAGAAGGGATAAACGGCCGAGACTAGCTGAACTTGTGTTCGTATTTCGATCTCGTTGCAATATGGATTATTATATCAATCGGATTCAGATCTTACTATGTTGTGCAATGATTATTTTATCATGCGAAGAAATCTAGTTAGTGCGGCGACTATCCGTCGATAACTTATTGCTGCGTGGCTTATCGACCTGTTCGTGTTGATCTTCCCCGCATTATCAGGCCTCACCAGCTATACATAGATTATATAGATTATTCAGCTCTGCAGATAAAGGAGCATTGATGTGAGAAGGACCTGATCGAGGCTGAGCATCTCGTATTTTCATATGACGGATCACATGTGGGTGTTCTCCGCGGTTGAATATATATTAATACCCGACTATTCTCGAACACCTGTTTACGAGCTTCATACCGATGATGAATGATATGTTGGTTGGTAAATTTCAAATATAAACGCATGCTTATGTCTATATATACTCCGGCTTTAGAGTCTCACCGGCTCCGCGTCAAGCGGAACCAACACATGTCCCTCCGTAACCAAGGAGTTCTTGCACGAGCGGGCTGCAGCCAGGTCCGATAGATTGCCGAGTGTAACCTCAGCGATCTCCTCAAGGGCCTCACGCGTGAAGAACCCCTGATGACCACAGATCAAGACATTAGGGAATGTCATCAGACGCATCAACACATCGTCGTCGATGATCTCCCCAGAGTGATCATTATAGAAAAGCTCGCCTTCCGCTTCGTACACATCCAACGCCAACCCGCCCAGCTGCCTCGTCTTCAGCGCCTGGATGACAGCCGTGGAATCGATGAGCCCACCGCGCGAGGTATTAACCAGCAAAGACCCGGGTCTAATGCGCTCCAACGTCTCCTCATTGATAAGATGCTTCGTCTCCTCCGTGAGCGGGCAGTGCAGACTAACGATATGGCTCTCCTGCAGCAGGGTGTCTAGGTCGACTAGCGTCCCATACGGACGGAACTCTTCACCGGCAAACGGGTCGTGCGCAAGCAGTCGGCACCCGAAGCCGTGAAAGATGCGGGCGGCTGCAAGCCCAATGCGCCCCACGCCGACGATCCCCACGGTCTTGCCATGCAGGGTATTCCCGAGCAGGCCTTCAATATTGAAATTGCCCTCGCGCACGCGGTTGTAGGCGCGGTGCGTCTTGCGATTTAAGGTTTGGATCAGGGCGACGGCGAACTCGGCCACGGCTTCGGGCGAATAGGCCGGGACATTCGCCACGAAGAGGCCGAGCTCTTCGGCGGTTTCGAGGTGGACGTGGTTGAATCCCGCGCAGCGGAGCAGGATCGCCCGAATCCCGTAGGCGTAGTGCATGACTATTCCGCCCTATGGCTGATGCATACCGGAACACTACCACGTGGATAGGTAGTCTTCAGATCAAATCCCGATCTCGATCTCCAGTTGAACACAGAATATAGATCTGCAAATGCGGGTTGCAATCGGAAAATCTGGGGAAGAACCTAGATATACAACCTACGACTGACCAAAACGGCCGCTTGCAGGTGTCATACGATATGTCGTCATGACTTGGCAATGGTAGTCCAACATCCAAACCCCGCGGGGCAAGATCACAACACATACGCTATCATGAAGCTCGCCGTCTTTAGCGCCAAATCTTACGACCGCACCTATCTCGACCAGGTGCGCGAGCAGCACTTCCCCGACCTGTGCACCATCCAATACCATGCCTTCGCACTGTCCGAGGAGACCGTGCCCCTAGCCCAAGGCTGCGACGCAGTGTGCGTCTTCGTCAACGACACCCTAGACGAGCGCGTGCTGCGATCCCTCTACTCTGTACAGAGTAGTTACTGAAAGCAGTTCACAACTTCTCTAATTGAAGTATGTAATAACACCTCGGCAAGCTACCAATGTCCACACTTCCCGAGGTCTTCTGGACGATTACTTTTTTCAGACATGCAGGCAATTCCTAATTTCCATTGCGCACGAGTTGATTGGATCCGTCGGTCTCATGACTTCCGCGGCTCCGGTAGCCGCTGGCGGACAAGACCAATAGGAAGATGGAGGCGATGGCAGCCAATCAGCAGTCGATGATAAGAAGAGACGCCCCGGCAATTCTGATTGGCTGTGTCGTTAGCCCGACGCTAGCGAACCTAAGGAATCCCGACGTTTTCCCTTTTCCTGTTTTCTTCTTTTCCTAATTTTCAGTTTTGGATAGATGAGGGCAGTGAAGTTACATGTTGTTACATGTATATTGGATATTGAATCTGTTTATTGATCATTCCCAGTCTGTAGGGAAAACAGTGAGTAGAGACCAACACAGTCTTACACACAATATGATTATGCGAACCTTGGAACCTCAGGTAGATCGGAAATGAACCCATCGGACTTAAGTGGAGAGACCGCAAAAGGAAACCCGTCACTGGGGCTTCATCCAGCGGTCTGAATTCGATTAATCACAAATAGCGGTCAAAAGGAGATCGGATGTGTAGGTTGTAGTGAGGATGCTGATTCCAAGGAAGAACAAAGTACAACATACATAGTTCGTGACAAGAAGGAATAGAGTCCCAGTACGCGGAAAAGACACACGGGCTACGAGTACTTGCCGCTACCTGGCCCCTGCGCGTGAGTAGTACCCGCCCCGAAGTACCACAAAGTACCTAGTATAGAGTGCTAAGTACCTTTCATGTATGTCGTACCTCAAGTAACAGTATCATTGTCCTCGTGTACTCCATGGAGGAGCATGTCGCAGAGGAGGATGCTTCTCACTCGACTTCACCTCCTCCCTCACCTCCTTTCGCCCTATTTATTGGCCTCTCTCCTGCCACTGTCACTGTTCACCCGTTCCTCCATCTTCTCCACTGAATCCACTCTGTGCGTAAGAAATACGGAGTAGCCTCGGCCACTTACAGTCAACCTTTTCTTCTTGCCTCCCCGGCTGAACGGCTCTGTCTATTGTCCTTCGATTAATTCCAACTCCTTTTTGCCCCTCGGTATCTGCACTTTTTGCCGCTGCGCTGGAGATTACCCTTTAACTCTACTTTAAACATTCCGCCTCCCACCTTTCAATTCGTCACCTAACATTCATCCTCTTCCCATATCTCAACTTCAACTTCATCCTCAACTCAACAACTCAACTCAACCTCCACTTACATCTTTTCATTATGGCGACTCGTGTTATGACCACCAACCCGGCTATCAACCAAATCTCGGTCTATGGTCAGCCCTCGCCAACCAACTCCGCCACCAACAGTCCCTCCAACAATTCTCCCACCTCCCCTCGCATGTCCACTGCGTCTCTGCACCAACTGCCTCTGCAGTCGCGCCAGCTGCGTCCTCTCAAGGGTCCCCTCTATGTCCCAGCAGCTCTGCGACCCACTGAGCGACCCCAGAAATCGTCTCCTATCACCCCACCTCGCAGCGTGCATGGCTCTCTCGACAGCTTGAACGAGGACTCGGAGCCGATCACTCGCCGTTCCACCATGGAGAGCCAGTCCAGCGAAATTAGCGAGAGCGCCCAGCACGAGTGGATGAAGAATGAGCACCTGGGTGAGGTGACCGGTCTTCCGACCCGTACACACTGGAAAGTGAGTATCTGAGAAAAATATTTCCATCTTTCCTTCCTTGGGCGCCTTTATAGGGATTGGGTTCGGTGTGGATTGCGCAGTTCTTGAGCAAATGTCGTGTGCGATCGTCATTTCTCGGAAATGGCGTGCTTAGTCCACCGCCTCATCCCTTGTCGCATTCCACATATATCCTTTGATCGCATTGGTCATTGGTCATTGGTCACTTTCTTACAGGTCAACTTACTAACTTTATCCAGGCTGACTCTGCCTCTTCCAACTGTGATTCTCCTACTTGCCGCTCTTCCTTCGGCATCTTCCTACGTCGCCACCACTGTCGTCACTGCGGTCATGTCTTCTGTGCTTCCCACACACCTCACCTCGTTCCTCTTGACCAGGATGCCCGTTTCCACCCCGATGGCGTCCCCTCGCGCGCCTGCGACCTGTGCTGGAGCGCCCACCAGCGCTGGGAAGAGAACCGCTCCGACCGTTTGAACAAGATCCAGAACACCATGGATGCTCAGCAGACTGGCATCTCCGTCCCCGATTCTATGGGCATGAATCGCGAGCCCAACGTGGCCGACGCCGCCGCCTCCGTTCCTCGTGACTGGAACTGGAGCACTTTCTAAGCGCATTGCCTGTTTCCTTTGGTCTTTGGTCACTGTGGCTAGACCTGCAACTCGGCGTTTCCCTTGATCTTTTCATCATCTTTTCACTTTATCGAGTCATGCTCAGCGTGACCTGTTTTTCTTATTGGCGACCATGGCTCGGCGTTTCTGACAAGCCCTGGACCCTGGGCTTTGTTTCTGTTTTCTGCAGTCATTTTATGACTATGCATCATGCCTAGAGGTTCTCATCGGTCCTTAGCGACCCGTTTCGTTTATGTTTCTGCTTTCTTCTTTTTCTGCCTTGCGTTGATCAGACACTCATCGGTCCTTAGCGGCCGGTTGATCTTGACTTCTGATTCTGTTTTTTGCTTCTCGTTGATCAGGATACCCCGTCGGTTTTTTATTGCGGCGCGATCTCATTTGATGTTTCTTCTTTCCTAGACCCTGATCCGACGCCTGAGGGAATGCGCTTGCAATTCCCCAGTTGATATCTAGTTCGATTTAGTTCGATCTAGTTGAATCCAATCCAATCCATTGATATTGATATTGAACCTTGACCTCTCTCAACTCGTAGACAATGCCTACTCTCTATACTATATTATCGCGTAGATCTATTTATCCAAAACCACCCGCCTAAACATCCCAACATGCTCAATCCCCTCCTCCATCCACCTCCCCATCGACTCATCCGTCACAAACCCAAGCCCAGCATACATCCCCTCGACATCAACCTGCGCATGCACAAGTACCAACCCCCGCCACGGACCTATCGCATCCGAACCCGAATCCCCCCTCCTCGCAATCCCCGCCACAGCCTCATCAATCTCCCCCGCATGCCCAGCCGCCCACACCAACGCAACCTCCACCAACCTCCGCCCAAGTCCTAGACCCCGAAACCCCGGCACGACCGCCACCCGCGTCAGCTTAACACAGGGCTCGTGCGTCCAGTCGTATTCCCCTCCCGCTGAATATTCTGGGTCCGTGGTGTGCGCGTGCGATACCTGCGGCGGGGGCACTAGTCGGATTGTTCCCACCGGCGTGCTGGTCGTGTCGGTGTATAGGACCCAGTGCCAGCTGCGGGGGTCGTCGCTGTCTATTTCGGTGGATGCGGTGCAGTGTTGCTCGTCGATGAAGACGGTTTTGCGGATTGTTATTGCGTCGTTGAACACTTTTGGGTTTGTGGTGGTGGTGGTGCTGGTGTCGAGGACTAGTTTGGTGTTTGGGCCTGGGGGTGGCTGTATTGATGTGCTGAATTTTGGGGTTTGTGCCATTGTGTTGGTATGGATATTGGGTCTTGACTCTTCAATGGTAATGATGGTGGAGAGTTGGGGTGTGGAGGTGTTAGGTCGTGGTAGAGGGCCGATCCTGATATAGATCTAGTCGAGATTACTGAACATTGAACGCTACCTTTCCTTGATCGGAATATAATTGAAGATGAAGAAACTATACTCTTATCGTAGCGAAGCTATCACATCTTAGAGCAAATATAATAAGCCATGACAGCCGTATACTTATCTAGTCCCATGGGCTGTATACATCCAATGCAAACAGAACAAACAACATCAAATATCAAAACGATCGCAAAAATCCTTAATTCCCCGACCAACATTCCACATTCCAAATGTCCCTCTACTTCGATGCAGTCGCTATCCTGACCGCACCCTCCTCAGGCGGCTCCTTCAAGTCGCGAGTCTACAGCGCCCGCAACCTACGCGCCTCTCCAGCCCAGATCTACGCACTGATCACCGAGGCCGCAAAATGGGACACTGTGCTAGCAGATGTGATCGACAAATCCGGTATTCTCGCACTAGAGCGCAAGGTGAGATGACACCAAGAAAACCACCAGATATACCTACCTACTGACTGACCAAGTGATTTCCCCAGCTCACTCCCCTCCTCGCTCTCCTCCTCGTCCATGACCACCTCCTCGCGAAGAAGGGCATTGCCGCGCCGGCAACGCACACACTGCGCCAGACGGTGGAGCGGCACAAGGCCAGACTGAAGGCCGAGTTTACGAAGGCGCGTGTGCGTCGTGGATGCGCTTCTGTCGAGCAATTCAAAGCTGTTGTCGTGCGCGAGAAACGGCTCGCTGATGGGACGAGCCATTTCGTCTACCCGCGCTGGGTGCGCGTTAATAATATCCGCACGACGCTTGAAGAGCAGCTGGATACTACGTTCAAGGCTTATCGTCGCGTAGAGAGTCTTGCGGAATTGGCGCCGGAAGATGAGCTGGAAAGTAGGAAGCCGGAGCCGAGGTTGTTCGTTGATCCTAATATTCCGGATTTGGTGGCTGTGCCGTTCGGTGCGGACTTTACGGCTTCGTCGGCTTACAAGAATGGGGAGATTATTCTTCAGGATAAGGCTTCTTGCTTCCCGGCGTATTTATTGTTGGGTGACCGTGGGCCTAGTGACCCGTGGGAGGGCGACTTGGTGGATGGCTGTGCTGCGCCGGGGAACAAGACTACGCACTTGGCTTCGCTTCTGGCGAAGCAGCAAAAGGGGAATAAGAACAGCAGACAGAGAATCTTTTCTATGGATGCATCTATCACCCGTTCTAGGACGCTGCAGAAAATGGTTGGCTTGGCTGGGGCTGACTCGGTCACTGTGCTGCAAGGTCAGGATTTCCTCGCCCTGGACCCGGAAGATGAACAGTTTGAGCAGGTTACTGGGTTGTTGTTGGATCCTAGTTGTTCTGGTAGCGGAATCATCGGGCGTGACGAGGTCCCTCAGTTTACACTCCCTGCTGCGGCACCTTACAAGGCGCCCAAGTCACATGGAAAGAAAAGGAAGCGTGTGGACAACGAGGAAGAAGCAGATGGCCAGTCGAAAGTTACCATTGGAACACCGCAGGTAGCGCCCACCGATGAAAATGATATCCCAGATGGCACGGTCGACCCAGAGCGACTGACCAAACTATCAAGCATCCAAGCGCGGATCGTCGAACACGCTTTGCGTTTCCCGAATGCTACCCATGTGACGTACAGCACTTGTTCTATTCACCTGATTGAGAATGAGGGTGTTGTGGCTCGCATTCTGAATTCCCAGGTTACCAAAGAGCGCGGCTGGCGTCTCCTGCGACGTGATGAGCAGCCCGAGGGCTTGCGTCGATGGAAGAAACGAGGCGTGCGAGAGGAGCGGCCGGCGGAGGGAGAGACGGGGCCATCGGGCTCGGTAGATCTCTCCGACGAGGCACTGGAAGCGTGCATTCGATCCTGGCAAGGTGACGCAGAAGGTCTTGGAGGATTTTTCGTCGCTGGGTTCATTCGGGACCCTGCTCGTGCTGTCGCGGCCGTTCCAGCGAAGGAAAATAGACAGGACGAGAGCGAAGATGAAGAAGATGAAAAAGATGAAAAGGAGGACGACGACGAAGAATGGGGAGGATTCTCCGATTAGACAAAAGTATATAAATGCAAGTTTGCCCAGCCTGAAACATTCCCAAGGCATCTGTTACCATACATCCCAAGTCCTCGGCGTATTATGCAGTTTAAGACTTGAACAGACGTACAGACGACTAAAGGAATTTCCGTGACCGGTTTCGGACCTGCGAACTGGTATAGATGTCCAATTTGACAGCAACCAAGACAACCTCGTATATCCCGGTAGGCCCGGTCTGCACTTGCAAGCGCCATTGTCCAGTCCGAACAACCCAGGGCCCATCGTCCGTATTATCGACCCGTGGGCGTTTAGCTGGAGGCACACCATCAGCGCCGGCTTCAGGCTTAGCTCTCGATATCATCAAATGATGAGGGTCTTGTTCTCCATCCACGGTGAGATCAGTTTCACTGTCGACACGGACCTTGAGTGGAACTTGGCCCAATGGAGGATGTGAATCGGGCAGGTTTAATTTCTTGCCCACTGTCTGTAACAAACTGACAATTCTTTGTTTTGAAAGGCCTAGGAAGTCAACATGCATGGTCCCACGATGAATCAGACTAGACTCGTCGCCGATCTCAACCACCAGATCGGCGGCGTTGTCGTCTATAAACGGACGCGTGTATGTGACCATTCCACCCGACCCAGAAACTGTATTCAAGACACACTGAACCCCAGACGGCCGTACATCCTCGAGCCGGATGACGATTTCCAAACGATGGCTGAACGGATTCGTCGTTATCTGATGCGGTATCAACTTCTGTTCCAGGCCGCGCAGATGGAAATAACGACAGTCGCGCAGGAGCGCAGCCCGATGATCCTCGTTTCTGATATGTAGCGGATACCCGCGCAGCAGATGCAGGAGCTCGTCGAAGACATCCGCGGATCGATTCGGCACGCTTGGGGGGACAATGGCCGGAGGTCGCAATAGACCCTGGCGGTCCAGGCCCGGGAACACTTCAGACGGGGAGGCAAAGAAAGCGGCGAATCCGAGAGTGAAGAAATTCGGGGTATCGCCTGGACCTGAGAATATATCGCGGGGGATCTGGAAGTGTCGGTCGCCGATTTGAATAAAGCATTCGGACTCGAACAGCTGGGACATCAATCGGGGCACTGTTGGTCAGCATACTTCTAGGGTACCTGGACAGAAGATGCTCACATGTGTAGAATTGCGCATCTGCGAATAGCTTCACGAACTGCGCGCCATCTTGCGGCCGGACATGGTAGCCTGGATGCACCCATCAGCCTCCGTCACGTTGTATTTGTCCATGGACCCTACCCTGCAGATGCCTAGCGATCTCGTGGAATGTCGTGGGATCGCGATCGATATAAAGGGTCCTGATGTTGGCTACATCTGGATTCTGAAGCAATTGAAGCTCGAAGAAGCGTGAAAAGTAGGACGGAGCTGTTGGAAGGGTCAGTTTGAGTTAGACAGTTAGACGGGAGAACAAGCGCATTTACCATCAGAAGCAATTGAAGCGCCCGAGAGACGAAAGGTCTCGGAACCAATTTGGATAGAGAATACTTTCTCTCTCGGCAGACTACATTTAGAGCGAGTGGGAGTGCGCTTGTCCATCTTTTGATGAGAGAGGGTCGAGGTCGGAGCGGAGAAATTACATTTTGCCTGACGACTAGCAGCTACCTACAACATAGGTACACACACACTACACACACACTACACATACACTACACACATACTACACACATACTACACACTACAATTATACCACTGGGCCAACTTGAACTTAGCTGAAATTGAAACTAATTTAATTGGACATGAATTTTCTATCCACGCTGGCTCCAGTCTCAGCTCACCTTGAGTCTCACATGGCGCTGAAACTCGGCAATTCTCCCCACAGACGTGCCAATCAGCCCCTGACTTCCGAGAAAGAGGGGCGGATCTGCCTCTCCAGGAAACTTAGGCCGTGAAACGGTCAGGTAAAATGGAGACATGCACGGTCTTGACTGGTCGAGATAATCAATTACTCCACCACCGCAAGAGTCAAAAGCTTCACTACGGAGTCCTTCTCCACTCGACCGATGCTGCTATCTTTGTGGTCGCGAGGCTGGCTGACCGTCGCCTGAAGTTACCTGAAGAGCAGTCCACACAGAGTACTTTGTCCATGACTATCCACGCTAAAGATGAACCAGGTTGGACTCTGCATACGTACCTGTTGTCATAGTGGGACCTCGTCGAGCTAGTATATTAGGTATTATAAACATCTGTACCGTGCCCAGGTGCTTCTGTCTCCTTGCTCCCAAATCTCTTTCTTATTCTCATCCCACCATTCATCCTATACTACTGGGGCTTGATCTACGACAGCTTTGTCTGCTCTAGTCCTTGCAACATGCCAACCCTCGCTGTTTCCACATACACCCCGAGGGATGTCCCTCTTCCGCCAGCGCCGTCGGCCACTTACTTCTCGGAGTTGCAGTGGAAAACCCTCTATGCGCTGGCCGACGCAGTTGTGCCCTCCATCCACACTGCAGCAACTACCAAGTCATCGAACGACCGGGTGATTTCAAATGCAGAGTGGAATTCCGCCGTGTCGAGCTTGTCAACGGCTATCTCTGGACCTGACGCCATAAACATTGCCACCCAGTACCTGCAAGAAAATGTGTCTTCGAATCCGCAATTCCGGGCCGCAGTGGAGCGACTCCTGGGCGACTACGTGAATGACGTGGGAAGGAATGGGTTTGGTTTCATCATGTCAGCGCTCAACACCCGTGCTGGTTCTCTGGTCATGACGGGTTCCACCACTCCGATCCAGGACCAACCGATTGAATTTCGAGAAAAGGTCTTACGTGGATGGGACACCTCTCGATTGGCTCCTCTCCGCGCCATCTACCGAGGACTCACCGCCATCGTTAAGAAATGTTGGGTTATCAGCAGCCCAACCATATGCCCGGTTCTGGGGTTCCCAAGCATCCCTATTCATGGCGAGCAGGTCGACGGTTTCCAGTTTGAGTTTTTGCAGTTTCCTTCTGGGGATCAGCCAGAAACGATTGAAACCGACGTCGTTATCGTGGGAAGTGGCTGCGGCGGTAGCGTGGCTGCAAAGAACCTCGCCGAAGCGGGCCATCGAGTGCTGGTGGTGGAAAAGTCGTATTCATATCCGACCAACACGTTCCCCATGGGCGCGAATGAGGGATTTACCAACATGTTCGAGAACGGGGGCGCTGTCTCCAGTGACGATGGCTCGATGGCGGTCCTAGCGGGCTCAACGTGGGGTGGTGGTGGTACCGTGAATTGGTCGGCCGCTTTACAGACCCAGGGGTATGTCCGAAAGCAATGGGCGGATACTGGTCTGCCTTTCTTCACCTCCCTCGACTTTCAGAAAAGCTTGGACCGCGTCTGTGATCGCATGGGTGTTAACGAGGAGCACGTTGAGCATAATTACCAGAATAAGGTGGTTATTGAAGGCGCAAGGAAACTGGGATATGCCGTGAAAACAGTTCCCCAAAATACAGGTCACGGCGAACACTACTGTGGGTATTGCACGTTAGGATGCGCGTCGGGTGGGAAGAAAGGCCCAACGGAGTCGTTCCTTGTGGATGCTGCTCAGGCCGGCGCGAAATTCATCGAGGGATTCCGTGCCGAAAAAGTGCTATTCACCAATGTCAAAGGCAAAAAGGTCGCTTCTGGCGTGCAAGGAACTTGGAAGTCACGGGATTCATACTTGGGCCTCGCTGGTATTGGGGCTGTGGAACGTCGGCTGATTATCAAGGCTAAGAAAGTAGTTGTATCAGCTGGCACATTGCAAAGTCCTCTTCTGCTGTTGCGTAGTGGTTTGAAGAACCCTCAGATTGGCCGAAACCTTCATCTTCACCCTGGTAAGAACTTTCTTCCACAGCACATGTTACAGGCACTTATTTTTCTACAGTTATTGCGGCTAGTGCTGTCTTTGATGAGGATACTCACCCCTGGGAAGGCTCTGCGTTGACAACGGTTGTCACCGAGTTTGAGGACCTTGATGGAAATGGACATGGTGCGAAGATTGAGACTGCCGCAATGTTGCCTTCCGTGGTCATTCCCATCTTCCCCTGGCGAGACTCATTGGAATACAAGATGTGGGCGGCCAAGATGCGTCGCAGCACGAGCTTCATCGTCTTAACCAAAGAACGCGATACTGGTCGTGTTTTCCCGGATCCGGTCGATGGACGCTGCCGGATTGATTACACGGTATCTGCCTTTGACCGGAAACACATGGTGGAGACCCTGATTGGCATCGCCAAGATTGCGTATATCTCAGGAGCCAAAGAGTTCCATACTGTTTACCGCGATCTTCCCCCGTTCATCCGGCCAGAGACTTCAGACCCCGAGGCCCCTGAAGGCATTAACAATGCGGCTCTGCAGAGTTGGATTGCCGAGCTTCGTGCGAAGTCCCCTTTGAACCCGGAGCGTGGTTTGTTTGCCAGTGCGCACCAGATGGGTACCTGCCGCATGAGTAAGTCACCTAAATTAGGTGTGGTGGACCCAGATTGTCAAGTCTGGGGCACTGACGGGTTGTATGTCGTGGATGCGTCCGTGTTCCCTAGCGCTAGCGGTGTGAACCCGATGGTCACTAATATGGGGATCGCCGATTGGGCCAGCCGAAACCTCGCGCGGGCGATGGGAACGGTACGAGGCGAGGGCAACGTGATGGCTCGTCTGTGATGTCATGGTAGATTGACCGCTTGACTCGTTCTAGATTTTATGATATGCCTAGTATGATTCTGTAGTTTCATTATAAGACTCGTTATAAGATTGAGGTGCTTCGTGAAGCCGAATATGATGTCTAATTCTTTCCCTGATCGGGCGCTAATGCTATTTCTCATTTATCATGTTGAGTCTAAGCCTTGGGACCCTGGCGCTTCTCAATGAATTGCTTTTCACCAAAGGCTTCCTTGACGCCCTCAGCCTCGAGAGTGCGCTCATACCAAGCGACCACGGAGGGGTACTTTGCGCGCATCTCAGCATCGATAGCCATGGAGAAACCCCAGACCAGGGCAGCGGCAACGGTGATATCAGCCAAGCTGAGCTTTTCCTTGCTCGCGAACCAAGTGCGGCCCTTGAGGTGAGTCTCCAGACATTCCAGCGAGCGTTCTAGACGCGCGAGGTTGGTCTCCTCGACTTTCTCATCGAAGGGCCGGACACCGAGACGCGGCAGCGCCAACTGCGTCACAGGGTCCAAAATCTCACCCTGCGCAAAGCAGATCCACTGGCGGATAGTAGCGCGCTCGGCGGAGGTGGCACCAGTAAGCTGAGCGGCAGCGGGGCCGCTCTCGGCAATGTATTGGGTGATGGCGTCTGACTCGAATATGGTTGTTCCGTCGGCACCCTCGAAGGCGGGCACTTTACCCAAAGGGAATTTGGACAGGAAATCCGGGGTCCGGTTGGTCTTGCCCATGGCGAATTCCGGAACCGCCACTTCTAGGCCGTTCAGGTTGGCCGCGGCCAGAGCCTAGCAGGGGTTGTTAGCGCGTGATTACATGCTGATAGGGGTCGAGATTGGTACCTTCATGACCCGGGGACTGGGCTGATAAGAGTAGATAGTGCCGAATGGTGCCATTTTGATCGTGATGAGGTGAGATAGAGGTACATTGTAGAATTGAGGGGTACATTTTATATGAAGCTAAAGAGCGGGGCGGAATCAGGTGGAACCGGATTTCTAAGCTGATGAGCTGATTTCAAGCACAAAACAGGAATCGCGCGGTTTGACTAATATATCTTTGTCAATTTATATAAACCCAGGAGATCGATGTGAAATATTAGCAACTGCTTATCAATTGAGTGTTATGGAGCTTAACTCGCGCAAAATCCGACTCAAGTGGCCCACCTTCGTGAGCGCAGTCAGAACTTAATGTCGACAAGTCTCCCTCAGCTTTTTGTCTCTCCGGACTGAAACAGTTAAATATACAAGAAATTGGGGTCAAAATCAAAATACAAGGAATCGCAGCACATCCCAGATCTACTAGGTCACGCCTTGCATGCCTCACCGAGGCGCATATAGTTCCAACAAACTGCAAGTTGGGTCAGCTTTTCACTTCAAAATTTCGGGGTAATAAAGACGCACTCGTATGTCCCATATCCTTGCCAAACAAGCTCTTCATCAGATCTTCGCCATCGCGTGTGCCCTCGCTCGGGATATAACTGACGGCCGTTTTGCCGAGAGCGAGGCCCATCACAGACGGGAACGGCTCCAAGGTCTGATACTCTGGCTTTCCACCGGTGCACTCTGCCAGCATATGCTGGTGGATATTCATCGCCGCGTAATGGCCCATATGCATTGCACCACCACAGCGCTTAATGCCTTCCCACTCAGTGAGGTCTCCTACTGCCCAATGATGCTCTGCGTTAGGGACGGCACCGGAGAACTGTAGTCTGCGGAGGTATTAGAAATTTTTGTGCGCAACTTGGTGGAGGAATAGCCTTACGATCGGTGCACTTTGATGTATCCCTCCTCATTCAATGCCTCTTTCGGCAGATATGTCGATGTTGGAACGCTTCGAGAGACGGCATTTAGAACATGACCCGTTCTGAGTTTCTGGCCATCGCTGAGTGTGAGATCCCAGGCCCGTGTCCCATTTTTACCGTCCACAGCGGTCGTTTCCATAACGCGTTGTCCTAGGATAACCTCGACTCCTGTATCGCGCAATATAGCACTTACGCGCTCGGCAAATTCATCGGGCAACGCCTCCGAAGATAACAAGCGCTTCCGAGAGTGGACCAGAGTGATCTTCTGGTCTGGGTTAAGGATTTTCAATTCGGCAGCCATCTCCACGCCCACAGCGCCTATCCAGAAAGACATGTTAGCGGGTGGAAGTAGCAAAGAGCGCGGGAGAACACGTACCTCCACCGACAATAACGACACCCTCACGGGCTTCCTTCACATCCGTCATATGCTGCCTGGCTTCTTTGAGGAACTCATCTCGTCGCAAGGACTGGGGAACAGTGGGGAAAGACCGACGCAGCCCGGAGCCTGCAATCAAGTAGTCATAGGGCTCCGTGCGGTTACTGTTGGTCTCCGCATCGACAATATGGGCGACCTTGGCATTGAAATCCACCGAGCTGACGCTTCCCTGGATAAATTTGAGTTCTGGGCACTTGAGCCCGGGAATATCTTGGAAACGAGTCCATGCCTCGGGCGCGAACTTTTCACAGGCTAGGGCCTTTGGGGATCCGATCAGGTGGACTACATAT